TTTTAGTATAATCTCATAACAGCTGTGTCTTTGAGGTAAAGGTTGTTAACAGATATTTTTCTCTCAGAAGCAGTTTTGATAATCACACTTTGCTTTGATAATCCAATTTCCTTGCACTGGAGCTACAGACTTGAGTACTATGCTAACCAACTTCTAAGATGGCCCCAATCATCCTTATCTTCGAGTATTCATTCCCTTGTTAGTCCTCTCCCACATTGTGTCAGAATTAGTCTTGGTGAACAGTAGAAATGTCAGAAGTGATGGTGTGTGACTTCTGAGCTAGACCATAAAAGACGACGCTTCTGCCTTGCTTTTCTGGATCACTTGCTCTGAGGAAAGCCAGGTGACCTGTCACAAGCAGCCCTGTAGAAAGGAAGAGAAAGGTCCCTTGCCAAGAGCTATTACCAACTTGCCAACCATGTAAGTGGAAGCAGAGGATGGAATTCTGGCTGACATCTTGACTCTAACCCCAGGAGAGACCCTGGAACCAGAACTGTTTGGCTAAACTGCTTTTGAGTTTCTGACTCATAGAAACTGAGATAAAAAAATGTTCACTGTTGTTTTAAGCTGCTAAGTTTTAAGTTAACTTGTTATATAACAATAAACAACTAATAAAAAAACTTTAATATCCTAAGTATTAAAGTGATTTGCCAAATACTTGAATTTTTTTCACTTTAAATTCACAATTCAGTTTTTTCTGTTGATAGAAGAGTAAGTGCTTTTGAATTTGTTTTATTAATGTTATCACCACAGTCATTTTCAGTGCTGAGGATTGTTAAAGCTTTTAGCAGAGTTTGCCGTACAGTTTCTCACCTAGGTAACTGATATTTGTGTGCTAATAGGTTATGAGCTAAGAAAAGTTATGAAATATGATGTTATAGAGACTTTTATGAATGTATATCATGTGTAGAAACTATTCTTGCTCTAGAAATGTTGTCCAGTAGAAATGTCAGCACATAGATAACTTTGAATTCTTTAGTAGCTTCATAAAAAAACTAAAAGAAAACTGATAACATTAATAATTAATAATGTATTTTTAATCTAATATGTCCAAAATGTTACCATTTAAACACATAATTAATGTGAAGCTTATTAATGAAATATTTTACTGTTTTGTTGTTGGGGCTAAGTCTTTGGAATTTAGTGTTACTTACAGTACATCTCAATTTGGACTAGCCACATTTTAAATACTCAGTAGCCACATGTGGCTAGTGGCTGTCATGTTCAATAGCACAAATAATGAATTTAGCTGAAGAAGTTTAAAAGACTTTATTCCAAGCTAGCAGCAAATCAATAATGCATATAAACTATAGGAATGGTTTTTTACACTTATGAGATTAAGATATGTAACATGCCATATCTTAGCTTTAATCTGTATCTACATTTGGCTCCAATAAGTCATCCTTCTATTTTCTGAATGCCTCAGAATCTTCAAACCTATGGGATATTCTATGGATAGAAGGGATTTGGGATATCAGAGGTTCTATGTAGATTTGTTTAAGATCATAGGCTCATAATGGCATGACTACCCCATGGTTTAACTTGAAGACTGCTTGCTGAATGTGGACTTTTTTGGGGGAAAAAAGATATAGTTTAGACTGTGAAGCACATATTCAGGGCCCTGGGCTGTACGTGGTATAGAAGCACTTCCAGGGGTTTCAGCACGAACCCTTTACTTCCTTGAGCTTGGGCCTGAGAGCAGAAGTAAACCAAATCTGTTGTGTTTCACAGTTTCTGAAGTCCAATGTTTTACCAACTGACATTTTGTTGGCTCACACATATTCAGAGAAGCTGTGATAACTGTCACTTCTACTCAGAGTTCAGGCATTGAACAGATTAGAGATTTTTCTTTTCCTTCAAACCAAAATACACCATTAAGTATAGTGTAGATGAACAGTTTTGTCGCTAGAAATTTGTGTCAAACTTTGTCACCAAAATCTACTCACTACTATTTTTGTAGGTATGTTAAAAAAAAATGGGGCAGGAGGGACTGTTTGCATAGAAAAGGGGATGGGATAGTTTTAAAAGCTCTTAGCGTGGTGCTGTGTTTCAGACATCTGCTGTTGGGATATTGAAACTTCAGGTATCTTTAGAATCTTCAGAATAAGAGCAGAACTTACTGCATATATTGAGTATTTATTTATTTGTTTGTTTGTTTGTTTTTTAACATATGCCCCTTTGAAACACAGCATTTATTTATTTAAAATCTTTATTGTTGAAGGTATTACATATGTCCCCTCTTTTCTCCCATTGATCCCTTATAGCTCGCACCCGTACCCTCCTCCAGGCCTTTACCACCTATTGTC